AGGCAACCTTTAAGTTCCAAGTATATTTATTGGTATCGTTGTTGACTCCAAAAGGGAAAAGATTACAGAAATTACATTTAAGAAAGCTTTGCAAAAAAAAGAGAATGAGTGGGAACTATTATCAGATCTGAGGGAAGTCAGATCTGGACAATCTACTTTAAGGTGCTGCTTCAGCACCAAGTTTCAATGTTATACCTTATGTGCATTTCTTAAAACTTTGTTTCTACATGCATAGAGTTTCTTGGTTGGTTGGTTGGTATTTTTTCACAGGCCAAGAACGCTTAAGTAACAAGAGAAGCAAGAAGGAAGTCCATGGCATAGGCGATGATGGTATGTGTGGGTTTGGGAATTCCCACAGTATGCTCTTGTGTTAGCAAATCCCACTTCCGCTGCAGGAAGCCACACTAAGTCATCCTTTGGCTGTTGGTGGCAGGAGGGGTGTAAATAAAAATGTGAGGTAGTTCTTCCCACAAGAGGGAAATATTTGTCTACATAATACCCCTGCAATGTCTGACAAATTACTAGAGCATCTGCTTGCTGTCATCTATCTGTAAGTAAACTCTAAGCTTGGTATTAACTGAACTTGACAAATTATGAGCTGGTTGCAGTTCACAGGCCTTATTTTTTGATCCAGCCATGATAGACGGAGACACTAAAACCCCCAAAAATGTGAACCATAGAGACCACCAAGTATTAGAACTGCAGGAGCAGAAGCGTTCAGAAGCATATGGGGGAGCTGGTAAGAACACATAATAACTTACCAGAACTGTGCATAAAAAAGAATGAAGGCTGTGGGGATTAACTTACAGACTCAGCTCCCACAGTTTAACTGTCACCTTGAAGGTTTAAAAAAAGAAAAGATTTGAAGTTCTAGCATAATAGAAAATGTGGCAGAGACTAGATAAAGGAAAATTAACATAGAAATATAAGGGGAAAGGAATAGAATATCCTAAGAAAAGCAAGAGTTGTCCAGCAAGAGTTGCCCACGAAAACGTTTAGTCTTTCCTGCTTGGAGTGTGCACATTAACAATGAATAAGAAATTCATTATTGCTGAAAATATTTGCATTCTACACTTTCGTTAGGCTACTGGGTCAAGAATACCAGAAACAGATCAGGAGTAAAATTATAGTTAGAAAAGGGGAGAAAAGGTAAGGTAGGACATTAAAATTTTATTCTGAAATTATCTCTGGCCACGACAATAAAATTTAACAAATAGTCACTGAACAGTCTTACTCCTGTCATCAGCTGTACAATACATACAGTATCATAGAACTGGCCACTAGGATTAAAATCCACTAGAACATATTTCATGTTAAGTGGCGACAGCAGCATCTCACAGAAATTTTTACATACATATATACACAGTCCACATTCAACCATTTTCACATATTTTCAGTACACACAGTTGCAGCATATTACAGTCACGTGTCTAAGTTGTTGCTCGATGAAAACCCAAGCCACTGCCTAGACATAACTGTAGCAGTTGAGCTGAGTATAATTACAATTAACTTCATATATGTCCATAGCAGATAGATGTACAGCCCCTAAGAAACAGAGTTCACAAATACTGTTGTTTTAAATGCTACCACAGCATTATGTTGGGCAATATTAAAACCTTTACCAACTAAATCAGATTTTTTTGAGTGTGTTTGTTAAGGTCTTCTGCTTACCAGAAATATTCTTGATGAAAAAATTACAAAAATGAATGCTCTCTTCAAAATAATTCACACTTTTAAGATTCCAATATGGCCCAATGCTACTGATGCCTAAAGTGTTCCTAACATTCTGATGGAGTCTTTTAGCCTGACTCCAAACCACCCATTAAGTTTAAAAGTGGCTTAAGTGCCTTGCACCCAAATTGTAAAAATCCCTGGCCATCCTCGCTAGAGCCAGGCACATAGAAAAGGAATGCACTTTGGTTCATACCAAATGCCCTGGGATTAATCACACTAGAAAATTAAATGGGTTTGAGGTAAATTTTTACAAATAGTCGATTTTTTGTTGTCTAGTGTTAGCATAACAAAAAAAAATGTCATTTAAAAAAATTCAGTCTGATGTTAAGATACAATGAAGACCATCTTTAACCCCTTAAACATAGGAATTCCCTGTGTAACTAAGCAATGGTTACTTTTCTCAGTGCCTGATGATGCTTCCCGCCTTATGGTTTCTATTAAGGCCTAGAAGTAACTGGATATTTAAGACAGATGTATCTTTGCAGAGGTGGGTTCCATCCTTACTGCCCAGTATTCAAAGAGTTAAAGAGGCCAAAAAATGCATGCCCTACAACATGGCATTCAGAACAAAAGGCACATTGTTAACACTAAGGGCAGGATTTCTCCTCTATGTTCATCTACACGGTCTTGCATCACTGTTGTTCCACTTGCGTGGTGATGCACACTCTGGCCGTGCAAGAAGTGGAGCCAGATGAGACTGCAACCAAAGACAAGACGACTGTGCTATTCCTAGACCTGAAAACAGCTCAGACATCCCTAGATAATGGTAACCTGCGAGACCAACGACTGTTTCCAAGCCAACTCCTAGTAGCCTAGCAGAGCCCTTCAGTTAGTTATGTGTTAAAATCACAAAGATGCAACATTTTCCTCTTTTTGACATTATAATTAAGCTAGGCTTTTTGAAAAGTTGCTCTACCACTACACACTGAACAGGGTGGCTCTTGTGAATAAATTTCATTATATTTTGGGGGGCAAACTATAATAGCGCTGCACATTATAGTTTGGCTGAAAAGTTTCCGGTTACATTTGTGAATAAAGAAAGCCACAAATGCACTGCTGACATGTTCAGAACCAGCTTTGTGTGGTGGGGGAAGACAGACAATATTAGTACATTTGTGACCTTCCACATGAATAATCATTGCAGAGAGAAATTCATATGCACGGCAGGCTCAGGTTCATAGATTTACCACTAAACATGGAGATGAGACTGAACGCGGAGGAGGAGCGTTGCAAAGGGAAAACAGCCTTTACGTTTTTATTTTAACGACCTAAAGAAGCTAACTATCACCAAGAGGCTTATGGTTTTTACAAAGCCATCACATCAAGTCTGAAACTTCTTATGCCTTTAAGCCAAAATTTTAATAAATACATAATCCTTAAATTCTGTAAGCCACTGATGGGGGGGGGGGTATCATCACATGAGCATCATTTAAAATGCACATTACTAACACATTGCGCTTCCACGGGTTACACAGAAATGCGTACAACATGGTAAAGAATTTGACTAGGGGGAAGAAGTTATAATTTTTTAAATACAGAAGTACAAATTAATTTATCAGTAACACCCTTAAATAGTAAAGCAAACATCAACATCACTACCTTAATAAGCTAATCTTATTACTGTTGTGTGGGGGTTTTTTGGCAAATATTCGTAGTATTTCCTGAGCATTTTTCTCCACCATCAACTGACAAAGCCTCAAAATAAGTGTTTTGTTCAAAACTACTTTTTTTTTTTAAGTAAGAGAAACTCCAGGATTTATATATATATTAAAAAAAAAAAAATTTAACCGGAAACTTTCTTGGCCTCACTGGGGACCATGCTTTAAGTACTTGTAAATCAACTTACAGGCAATACAATAATATCTGTGCATATAAAAGAGTATTTACCGTAATTTTTACTATCCAAACCTATTTCCAAACAGGCAGACATCTTTCTATATTAAATTGCACATACTAAAATTTTTTTTTCACGTGCCTTGCAATTGATATATATCACTGCTCATACATTAGTGATAAAATACTGAAATTTCCATTGTGAAAATAATTATTCAGAGAAGAAAATATTCTTTTACTTTTAACTCTGTGACTTTTCCAGGTAAAGTGTCATTCTCACAAAAACCATCAGTGCAACCCAAAAGGAAGGAAAATAAGAGAGAGAAATGCAATCTCTGTGGCTCCTCAACTGATGCGAAGACTAAATCAAACCATTTACTTGGAGGTTGAACTTTTCCTCCGCTAAATTTGTTGTTCAAATTGGCCTTACAGAACAGCCATAATGACTTCTGTTCAAAATGATTTTCAACCCTCCTCCCCCCGCCCCGCCTCTTTTTTTTTAAAGAAAGAATTGATACTTTCCCAGGCTTAGAGAACCCTACAGTGGCACTTGGCAAGTGGGAACTCATGCTGACCTGTTTAACCTTCTTTGGAACTGTGGAAATCCCCACCTTACGTAGCTAAGCTGCTGTTCTTTTTTAAATTGGAATATGAAATAATGGTCATAATCATAGCTACAATGTCTCTTTTCTGTATTAACAGTCTGGGATATCTACTTGAAGGGAGGGGGGAAAAAAGAACTAAATGCAAGCAACAGATATGTGGTAAGAGAGTAACAGGAGGAAAGCAGAGAGGGGAGGAACAGTTCATGGAATACACTTCTAATTTTAGGTGCAAGACCAACTCTGTAACATGAGGCTTCTTCACAAAACAGCTTGCTGATCATATTAGAAGATTTAGAGGAACACACACTTTTTCCATTTATCCACCAGGTCTGGCTGGCCAGCTTTGCGACTGTCAGAATGCTAACTGGCCATTTAAACCTTGGGCATTTTATTGTTTGAACATGATTGACTTCAAAAGAGAAAAAAAAAAGTTTGAACATTATTGTTTGAACATGATTGACTTCAAAAGAGAGAAAAAAAAAACATCTCTAAGGTGCAATTTTTCTTAGAACATCGTTTTCATCCTGACCATTCCCCTCCCTCCATAACTACCACCCAGATAACCTACGGGAAACAGAAGCAGGACATGCTACACCTGTGCATGAGTCTTGAGCATGGAGAGAGAAGGGGGTCTTTGGGGGCAATCACCTGGAGGAGAATATACTATGAACCGTAAAAACATAGTGAATGTCTTTGACACCGATCTGTAAATGCATGGCAGTCACGAAGTAATCAATGGCCTGCCACTGATGTTTATTACTCTGCCACACCAAATACAGTAAGGCTCATCGTACTTTTAGAACACAAAAAAACATTTCAGAAAGTATAAAAACTTAAAGCATTGTCCCCATGTATTTTATAAAAACAAATGACTTTCTTACATTAAAATAAGTGCTGAAGAGATACAAATGAGTCGAGTTATTGAGCAAATAAAAACAGGTCTGAGCTACTCCTTTGCAACCCAATAAGGCTCAGCCACATTGTATCTTTCAGATTACCAGCATCAGGGGGGACTCAGCTCAGCTAACAAGTTTTGGCAAGACTGTCCTCTGCTGAATATTCCCATTGGCATCTGTCATCTGTGCCAAATTAGTCCTCAGTTTGGAAGCGGAGCTGGAAGGTGGAGGTAACTTGGAAATGGAAGTGATAGCACCAGTGGTCTCAGTTATCCTTTTCACTGCCATCTTCTCCCCGGAGGGAGGCTTTGGCAACCGCCTCCTCAGCCAGGGATGCCGCAAAGCCTGGCCGGGGGTCATGCGGACCACAGGATCCCATTCTAAACACTGTTTCAAGAAGTCCAGGAAGAGGGGATCATCGCACCCCTTCAGTGCATTCCCCCACTCTCTGCTCTCTGGTGGGCCCCTCAGTTTCCCCCTCCGGGAACGGCCTCCGTTGAGGACCACAGAGCCGTCTGAGAGAGTCGTGACAGTGCAGTAACGGGGATATCCCTTGGAGCTCACAAAATTTTTGGCTCGTTTAGATGCATCCAACAGTTTCTGGGAGGGCATGCCCAACAGTTCGATCATACAGGCCAGCTGGTCCCCTTCATCTTCCCCAGGCAAGAGGGGGTACCCGGTCAGGAGCTCCGCTAAAATGCAGCCCAGGCTCCACATATCGATGGGCATGCCGTACCTGGCGCCAAGGATCACTTCCGGGGCCCGGTAAAAACGGGACTGAATGTACGTGTAGACGCGCTGATGCTCGTAACAGCTGGAGCCAAAATCGATCACTTTGATACCGCTTCTACCCTGCTGCTTTAACAAGATGTTCTCGGGCTTAAGGTCACAGTGAATTATTCTGTTTTTGTGCAAAGCATCCAAGCACTGCAGGATGGAGTGGGCAAACTTGCGCACCAAAGGCAGGCTGAAGCCCTGGAACTTATTCTTCTTGATGAGCTCGTACAGGTTCATGCTCAGCAGCTCGAACGTCATGCAGATGTGGTTGCGGAAGGTGAAATTCTCCAGCATGTGGATGACGTTCATGGTGTTGTCCTTGTCCTGCTTCCGCAGGTGCTCCAGGATCCGGATCTCCTCCGCCGCCTGCCGGTGGAAGCGCTTCTCATTCCGCACCATCTTCAGGGCCACGTGCTGGTGGACTTTGTGGTCGTAGGCCTTGACCACCTGCCCAAAGCTTCCCTTCCCAATGACCTTGAGGACCTCGTACCTGTAAGCCACGTGATCGTGGGGCACCTGCACGTAGGATCCCTGGTCATCGTCGTAGCCGCCGTTGTTGGACCCGCCTGTCATGCCCTGGCGCTTCTTTGCATTTGGACCCAAGAAGTATATTTCAGGGTAGCTGAAGATCTCGTGGTGCTCAAAGGTGGTTAGTTTTTGCATGTATTGCTTCATTGCTTGCTCGGGCGTCATGGGGGTGGCTTTCACCTTCCCCACGCCTTCCATAGACTTCAGAGAGGTGGAGCTGCCCTGCCGCCGATGGATGCTCTCCAGCTGCCGCTCTGGCACCACCGGCAACCCGGCTTTCCCCACCGTCGTAAGCCCATTGGGTTGTGTGGTGAGCACTGTCCGCTTGTTGCTGTTATCCTCAAACAGCTGCTGCACCTGGATCTGTCCGTGGCTGTGGCTGCCCACATGGAGGTGATCATTCATGGTGTGCTTACCGCCACCGATCTGGAATGCAGAAAGGAAACATGAATCGAATGGAAGAGGTGTGTCTGTTCAAATGGGAGGTCTTATAAGTCAGCCCCCAACCCCCACCTTTACCAAACCCAATGTGGTTGGAATTTACAGTCCAGCATCAGGTTTACTAAATGGTCCAAGAGGGACCTCAGGAACAGCCTGACAGGGGCAGCGGATATGATACTGACAGCCTCTGACAAAACAGAGGAAACAGAGGTTAGTTGGCTGGGTAAGGCTACAAAACCTGGGATCCTGAAAAAAGGAGCCCATTATATGCTGCACCTCACAGACGAGCTGCTTGCTGTACACACTGAGGGACCTTCGAATAAATTCCCTGTGGAGGCAGAGAATGTCATTCTTGCTTATCATCCTATACCTAACATTTAGCACAGGGCCTGGCACAACACAGGCTTTCCACTCAATCCACACTTGGTATCAAAATGGAAATAGGATACAGAAAAAGCACGAGGATGGAGACTCTCTACTGGCTCCACCTCCGCCCCACCACAGGGCGGGGACTTCTGACCGGTCCACTTCCCTTTCTCCGTTGTTTAGCGAGCGCTATTCTGCAAACACTGGTGTGTTCATTCCAGTCTTCACTACTTGGAAATCTGATCACATCTAAGAACATGCACGATCCAGTGGCAAAGAAAACTGTACTTTTAGGCTTGAGAGATTACCATGCAGATGCACACGGCAACCCCCTAACCTATTTTTAAAAGTTTCTGGGCTTCGCTAACTGTGATGACCATTTAAGGCCATTCAGCTCAACAAACCAACTGTTGCAGTTTTTTGGGCCTTCCTTTGGTCAATGGCTCAGCTCTCCTAAGAGCTACATTTCTCTGGGTTGCTGGGATATTCAGCTTCCCAACAAGAAATACAAAGTAGCGATTTCTATTTTCAGGCACACATGCCATCCCTGAACATTGCTGTCTAAACAAGATGGATGGTGTAAGCAAAGGCTCCCCCGCTACCTGCCCCCCCACCCGGCCCCCATCTCCACAGAGAATCTACTGGGATTTCTTTTTTCTTTTTCTTTTTTTTGCATTATCATTGCAAAGAGGTGAGGGGTGGGAGAAGACTAACAGCCAGGATCCTCTCCCAGTTGGGAACTCTTGACACCTTAGACAACCACCCACAAGTCTTAAAGCACCCCACTAGATGATTTTTACATGAAATCTTAAAGATCAATTGTCATCCGCAATCCGTCTCATTCATCCCACCACCAGTAGCTGAGGTCTAGCCACGTAAGTGGCAGTCCTTACCCTCAAGAAGCTTACAATCAACTCGTTGAAGTCCTTTACCATCACTATTTTTTTCTATTATCTCTTCCTAAGCCCTACCTTTGGGGCTTTATCTACCACTATAAGCACAGAAGGGCTCTGCACATGTAATATATAACAGTTCAGGGAATGGCTTGAGATCACCTAGCTTATAAAATGAAATTCTAAGACCTTACTCGCAGACTAAGACCTTTAAATTTTCTTTCACTGACACATGCCATGCACAGTGACTATCTGAGCAGTGCGATTTCTCTCTGCATTCTTCCAAAAACAGAGTAGACTACAGTATAGTACTTGGGCACGCCTGCAGTGTGATTTCATAGACTGAGGGATTTTATTTCTCAGACAGATTTCTCGAAGACTTCTAATTGATCCCTCTTAGTACATACATAGATGATATTCCAAGCTAAGTGAACTTATCTCCTGTAAGGGTAGCCGGACAGGTTATTTTTTCCTTGTTCTATGCCAAAAGCAAGAAGTCCATAAAAATGAGGAAAGCCTTAGCTTTATATAAAATTAGTATAGGTTTGCTCACTGCTGCTGTTCCCAAGCCTCACTCTACGCACCCCTCTCCCCACTGTGGTCTTTCGAGCACCAGGGAATAAAGGGACTTGGAATTAGAAGTATCAGAGCCATTCTCTTCAAGGCAGCATGGAGCAATGTCAAAAGAAAACCTACATTACCAGCATACATGCTACAAAAAACATGAGGTTTCATTAGGGACAAAATTAACCTTGGGGCTTTAGGAATTCCTAAAAAGATAGCAAAGTAACACATTTTGAGCACCTGAAACTGACTTCAGTTTTTGCAATAGCAATTTTAACGTCCTGCATCATTTAAAAAGCAATCAGAGAAGTTTACTGACTAGTACTAAAGAGAGCTTGCCCATTCACTTGACCACTTCCTATCTTTCCAACGGTCTTCTCTTGGTCTCCTCCACAGTATCAGTTCACCTACCTAGAGGTGGTGCAAGGGTTCCACAGGGCTCAAGCCTCAACTCCCGTGGCTTCTCACTCCCATAGCTCTCCCTGGTTGACCATGACCGCAACCCTCCAGGGGATGACATCTGCCACATCTGCACCTCTAGCTCAGACCTGCCCAAGCTATGTCTACTGAGTTCAACACCCATATGTCCAAGCACAGATCAGCTGCCTATCCCACGGGCAACTCAAACTCATGATTTTTCTACCAAAACTATTTCCTCCTTCCTTAACCCTCAATTTCTGATAAACAAAAGGCGTCACTTCCACATAGTCACTCAAGCTATACACCTGGATGTCCTCCTCTGTGTCTCACTCACCTTCCCAAGTCACCCTAAACCTCCTCATTTCTTTCTATCCCATACAGTCTCCCCTCACACGCCTGTTGTCTCTCACTGGGACAACTCAAACAGCCTAACCTGACCCCTTGCTTCTAAGTCTAGAATTCCTCAAATTTCCTCTCTCCATAGCACTCCTACGGTTACTATTCAATAGTGTCACTCTGACACACTGCCCTTGCTTTTGCTCAAGGCCCACAACTGCACCCATTTCCACAGACAGTACAAGAACTCACAGGCAAGAACACAAGATCCCAAAACACAGAGCCTATATGAGCTGAGTCCTTCCAACGTCGTCTACAATGCACACTATTCTCTCCAAGGGTAACAGAGCTGGATTCCCCAAGACCTGTGCAAACACCACTGTTTTTTTATACTCCTCTGCTTTTGGTGAAGTTATTCTCATATGGTGAAGAGTCCAGGGATTTTCAAGCAGACTCATGGGAAATGAGTCTCAATTTCACCGCTGATTAACTGTGACCTTGGGCAAAGTACTTAATCCCTGAACCACAGTGTCCTAATCTGTAAAAAGAAGGTAACTTCAGTGGGGCTATTAGGAGGATAAGTAAGGTAGTACTGAGTGAAAGAGAACTATTATTATCACCCTTTCCTTCCTAACCACACCTAAGCAGTAAACTCCTGATCAACCCTCAATGTCCAGTTCAACTCTCACCTCCTCGGTGAAACTCCCTCTCCCTTCTGCTGTGCTGATATACGGTAACGTGTTTCATTTTACTGCGATTGTTTTACCACCTGATGTACCCAGCTAGCTGTGAGCCATTCCAGGGCAGGGTTCCTCTTATCTCTGAAAGTCCCTATTGATATAAACCCAAACATACAGTAAGCACTCATAATTATCTGTTGAATGGAAAAAGGCACGTCAATAAGTCCTTGTTAACTCACATCTCTGAATTCTTTTTTTAATTCACAGGTCTTTTATTTACTTTTTAATTAATTAATTTTCTTATTGATTAAGGTATTACATATGTGTCCTTAGCCCCCCGTTGCCCACCCCCCGCCCCACACTCATGCCCTCACCCCTCTGGTGTCTGTGTCCACTGGTTAGGATTATACGCATGCACACAAGTCCTTTGGCGCGGAATTATTCTTGAGAAGTACCTTTGTACCTTCCTAAGAAAACATGAAGTTAACGCCCAGGGAATTGCAAATTGTCCCTGATGACCCACCTCACAAGATGTTAAGCTTGCAGCGCACTGGGGGAGACCTGGAGGCAAATGGCAACAGTTACAAAGTACCTGTAGCAGATACATCAACTAAACACGCGAAAGCAACATGTGGTGCCTTAAAAACTTCCCAGGTGTTAAGAAATTCATAGGAAAGGCTCTAGTAAAGGAGGACTTTGAGTCTCAAACTCTGTAAAACTCTTAACATCGAAACCAAATTTGGAAGCACCATGAACTGGTCTCTAAAGAGGAGAGGAGACCCTGGAAGAGCCAAAACGTTTCCAGAACACATATGCCAGGAAGGCATCTGAAACTGACGGATCCTGAGAACGCTCACTCTCACTCCGCCTCGTGAAGCCTGAGACTGTGGCTTCTTCCTGTTTGCTTTCCTTACACAGTGCCTGCCACAGTTAAAAATGTACACTGAGAAAATGCATCTGTTAGATACCTACAATGCATGGGTTAAAATGGAGAGGCCCACCACAGCCTTCTCTGACCACGAAACAGGTATCAAAAATTAGCTAAGAACAATAGTCTCACCAGTTTTGTAGTTTTAATCTCTTCCTGTGATCAAATGGAAAACAGCAGATATTACACTGTGCTATTATTTCTGGGCATTTAAGAAGCTCTCTGAAGTCATCTTAGAAATGTTGTGTAGTGTTATGGGAATAGAACTGAGTCCAAAAGATTGGAATTTCAGCTCCTCCTCAAACAACTGCCGGTCTGTGTGGCCCTGAGTCAAATGTCTACTTCTCCTTCAAGATATTACTGTTTTTAATAGGAATAGTCACTCTTCTTCCATTCTGATTACTTCATAAAGGCAAACTAGCACCGTGAAAATGCTTTAAACATTGACACTTCTAAAAGTGATGCCATACTAATATTTGGGAGTTAAAAAACAAAGTCTATTAATATCTCCCACACCACATAAAAAAAAAATCTAGTAGTTAAAAAGATAGTTACTGGATAGACTTTTAGGACCGAGATAAACAAAATGACTAGGTGTACAACAATATATCCATGGAGATAGAAAACAAAGAGCAATGGACTAAATTCCACAATTCATAAACTTTATAATCATATATTTATCCACCTACTATGTTATTTACAAGGGAAAATATGGGCAGGCTCCTATGACAAGATTATTTTCCTCTCATTAATGCCCGTTCTCCCCACTCCTTCTAGAACAGCTTTTCTCAGCTGCAATGGCTGTGGAAAACACTTATACAAACCTAAAGCCATATGGGAAGATAGATCTGCAAAGGTTCCTGCCTTTATAATGAAATTAATAAATACAATTTCCTCGAATTCGCAGTGTCGAGCAGTATGTCAAAGCTAGACTCAGGAGGGCCTGGCTTGGGCTCCAGCCTTGGTATGAACTGGCTCGGGAATCTTGACCAAACCAGTGAACATGTCAGCTTCCTCCTCTGTAAAATGAAAGAGGATCACATCAATGATGTGCTCCTTTTATACTTCCCTATTCTAGGAAATCTGCGATGTTGTACAAATAAAATAAAAATTAAACAACAAAACCCCAAACCACACTTTCAAAAACCACGCCTCTAATGATCAACAGCATACTGAAGCTTACAGGTAAGTTACAACGAGGGAAAGCAGATGCCACCGCAAATCCAAGTATCCCCCATCAGGAGTCCTAAGGAGCATCCTCACATCTGCTCCTTTCCGGTCTATCACAGGCTACTCCTCCCGTTTTCTCTAATCCCATGACATATGTCCATTGCAGAGAGACTCTGATCAAGCAACGCCAACCCTTATAAAACTGGAATCCAGATGCAAACCAAGTATTTTTTCCCCACGTCATGGGATTACATCCACACCTGGGAAAATAGATGTTATGGTCTCCAACTTGTCAGGTGATTCCAAATAAACCCAAACCCTTAACAACAATGGCAAGTCCTCAACTAAAATGTCACTGTGACAAGAACATTCAACCATAAGAAACCACCCATCCTACCGGCAGACTCTCTTCCACCATCAACGATCCAACACAGACAAGTTAAACTTCTGTGTCTGGATGTGTCAGGAAAGACAAAGGCAGAGAGAAACGAGTAAAACTAACAAGACGTTTTCCTATGAAAGTTGTGCACATCTGTCCAGGTCTCAGAGGACAGACTCCACTCTCACCATCCTCCCACAAATCCTCCCCTAATAAACAAGTTTCTCCATAAGGCATTCCCCTCAGAGTTGCTCCTCTGTAGGCTAGACATGGCCTTTTCTACAGCTCTCCACCTCCACTTGACAAAGCTCAATCCTTAGCAAGCATCCCTCATCCAGAACCATCTTAGGCAGCTCCTCTGGGAAGATCCCATTGGAAAGAAGACCTTGGAAACCTTCACTTCCTCCAAGCGCACCCCTTCTCTAGGCTGGCCGGCACCATCCAAGGGCCATCACCAGGAGCCGAGAAGAGGCACCTGCTGAAGTCAAACCCAGCCGGCCAGTCACTGCAGCCACCCATCCTGCAGGGCTCTCCCCTCCCTCTGGCCCGCAGAGGGACCCCAGCATCTATCAGGTGCCCTGCCCTTTGCTTTCAAATAACATCCAACTGGGTGGCTTGTTGTTCTGACTGCTACTGCGGCTCCTCTGTTTGTTAATGTTAATTACAATTTCTGCTGTGCTCAAACCTGTAGCACTCATAAAACATGCTTCCACACGCGGAGGACAAATGAGGGTGCTCCCTGCTGGCCGGAGCCAGGCCTGGGAGGCTCTTTGGGGGATCGATTTTCCGGGCAGGACTGTCTGGCTGTCCCCTAACATATCTGTTTCTATAAATACCCACTATCCAACGTGGGGGAGGAGAGATGTTTACCCGGTCAGGGAAGGGAGCTCTGGGAAGCAAGGACAAAAAAAAAAAAAAACGAGGGAAGAGAGAAGGGAAGCCGCAAGGAGGGGAAGTTCAGAGGCAGAGGAGTGCAGGGGTGGGCGGGCTCCGGAGGGGAAGTGAGGGGCCCACGCCACGAATCTTCCTTTGTGGCTGCAGCTCTGGGCTCGCCCGAGTTACAGAGGGCGGCGTCCAGGGGAGGCCACTGGCCATGGCCGTACAGACACTGGCACTTCGACCTCTCTTCTCTGGCGTCAGAACCCAACAAGTCCGGGTGTGGATGACCCGGCCCCTCCCGCACCCCTGTCCCCAGGGCGCCCGCGGGCAGGGTCTCACCGTGTGGGCTGCACCCCGTGTCTTCAGGGAGGCCCCTGAGGCTGTATGGGAAATGCTGCGTGTGTATTTGTGTGTGTGTGCTTGGTTTTTGGTTTTTAATATTTTTATTGATTTCAGAGAGGAAGGGAGAGGGAGAGGGAGACAGAAACATCAGTGATGAGAGAGAATCATCGATCGGCTGCCTCCTGAACGCCCCACACTGGGGATCGACCCCACAACCCTAGCATGTACCCTGACCGGAATTGAACCTGGGACCCTTCAGTCCACAGGCCGATGCTGAGGG